TACTGGTTTAATTTAATACCACCCAAGTTGCAAATGATTTGGCTTTTGCAGTGGAACACACTCATTCACCATGATGATAAATATGAATTTATGAATGACGAAATAAGATATTTAAAAGGAAAGGAGTGCCCTGGAAAAAGCACTACCATATTGCTGATTATCAGACAACAGTTCTGGTATATCTCAGACTTATTGAGAGCAAGACTGAGGCAAGATGTGCGTGTACATCATGTAAACCTCATTTCCACATACAAATAGTAGTTGTGTTAGCACTGTGCTCAAGAGATGTCCAGAGCAGTAGGAACTCAGCAAATACAAAAATGTAGTACCTATGGAGTACCTAAAATTACCTAGGTACTTATCATAATGTCCGTAAAGTTTAGCTCTGTGAGTAGTGTCCAGGAGTTTTGTCCAGCTTTTTGCTTCTTGAGGAGACATTTGCCTTGAGTTTGTCACTTTGTCAAATACCTGGAGCCCTACATGTGATTTCCTGTGCTAAACATCTTAAATTGCAAGTGACACAAATGCTACCTCGTAAAGTGAAGAAGTTTATTACATATTGTTCACTCCCCTCCCTCATCTTGTAGGTTTTTGTCAAGTGCAACACCCCTTACCCCTGCAGCATCAACTCCAAGGCTTTTCAGCATTGGCTTATGAAGCCCTGGACTGTACATCTGATATTTCTTCTGAGTTTATTCTTTTGGAAATAAAGAGAAGCTTAGAAACCGGATCCATAGAGCCTGCCCAAGCCTGTGGGCAGTACAAAACAGGTAATCTGACAGGCAGCATTTCAAGCATTGCAGTGGAGAATCACTTCCAAACAGTGACACAGCCAAGAATGAACAGAGGTTATTCACTTATAATTCGGGAAAAAGAGTTTGCTCACTTCTTCATGTCCAGCTGGCAACCTCAAGTCAAGGAGTTTTCCTGTTAAGCTGCTTTCTCAGACATGTCCCTGGCTGACACTGAGCAGAGGAGCAGGCTTGGCACCAGCGTGTCAGCAGGCTTGCACCTGAGTCTGGTGCTACGGGGAGGATGGGGACAGGGGCAAGAGAGGGCAGCATGCTCCAGAAAAGGGGTCGATTTAACCTCTTACATAATACAAAAGGAAATAATCCGAGTTAAAATCCGGTGTCTCAGGCCAAAATACAGCATATTTTAGATGAAGGTAATAAAAAAGCACCATGAAAATATAAAAATGAGAGAAATTATAGTCTTTGTTTGCCACATCTGAATGACTAATAGATTGGGTGAGCAGTGAATTTTTGATTTCTGAAGCAACATTAAAATTAACTGGACTACTGGTTTATTCATTTCTGGAAGAACAATTCTTCCTTTTATGTAATGTAACAAAAAATCAAGTCACTGTGGAGACAGAGAAACACAAACAACCATCAAGGTTCAAAGTGTAAAAGGAGTTTCACCTTTAGGCCACTGGTTGATTTTTAAAAGAGGATTGAAACCTGCCTTTGGGGAGTTGTTTGATGTCCTTGATCTCAAACACAGCTTAGTTCCTAACAGGCAAATGTTCCCATCATAAACACTGCAGCAACAGATAACCACCCTGGCAAGCAGAAAGGAGCATCCTTGAACCAGCTTTCCTGGAAATAATGGGTCACAAAAGCCATTCTTTTGCAGACATATGAAAGCACCTGTTTTCATCTCCCCAACACCTAAAGCTGCATTTCTGTTTACTGAATTCTGTAATACAAATAAAAACACTTCATCTCCCTTCTCAGATTCTGAAGGCTTGCAGGGGAGGCTGATCCAGACCCAGGGCTGTTAACTCAGGAGCTGCTCTAAATCATATCCAAAGCATTTTGGTCATCATCAAATATCTGTGATCATCAGATACTTCACTTTTTCAACAAGAATATCCTAGCAGTCGTTTAGAAGGGCTTGCTTAATTGTTTTTTAACCCTTTCAGACACTGAGGAAACCTGTTGTGGAAAAGTATGTTATCAAACCAAATAAATAAAGCCAACCAACCTATCTTCCCACCTATATCTGCAAATTCTAGACAAACTTAATTTGGGATTTAGTGTTGCAAAGGAATAGCTTTATGTGCCATTATCTGGAGCCATCCCTAATAAAAAGATATGGAATTGAAGACTTCAAAATAAATATGAGAAATATAATTGCATAATTATTAAACAAGCAGTCTTAGTATCAATGGTCACCTCACACTGTAAAACCACATCATAAAATACAACACCACAACCCTCCCCTTCCCTGTGATTTATGCTTCATGAAAAAGCAAAACAAATGTTATACAAATATTTTCAGTAGCTGAAAACTGGCTATCAGTACAAAACCACAGTTACAGACATTCCTCACTGCTGGGCTGAACTGTTCTCAAAACAATCCAATGTAAAGGCCACTGACAAATATTTCTAACATTCTGCAGTCACAAAGAACCACAGTGCTGTGTTTGGTGCAGATCACAATGCTTGTGCTTTAGAGGTATTATTTAGGCTTCAGTCTATGGTTTGCTAAGGACTCTGAACTCATGGCCTCTCTCATCCTAAAATCTCAGAATAATCACTGGTGTTAGTAGCATTTTATTGCATGTCCATCAAAAATAAACATGCTCAAAATAGCAGAGATTAAGAAGCTACAATCTCTTTGCCTATCTCAGCTCTGAACAGTTCTGAAAAACACATGTAGTGTTGCCCTCTGTGGATCTTTCAGACTAAAAGATGTAGGAGGAGAAAAATATTAATAGCATCTAATAAGGTGAATCCTGGAATCTATTTCACACAGAAAAGGGGAAAACTCAAGAGAAATTATGTTAGAAACCATTCTTATTGTTCAAGAAGTACACCATATTTTTTCTCCCTGTTGCAGGAACAAAGTCACCAAGTATATTTTCAAGAAAATATTTTTAAAAAATTGATGAAGTGTCAACACTTGACTGCTTGTTTAAATTGAACATAATTATAAAAGCTGTTACAGAGTGTTCAATTTGTTTCAATGTTATTATATATCATAAGGCTCATTCAAGCAGGGAGAATACTGCAGACAAGGCATGAAGATTAGAAGATGTCTTAGACTTCTCCCTGGAACAGCATGAAATACAATCTAAAGCAGCTAAAATTCTTTTAGTGGAGCTAATTTCTTTTCACTGGGACTTTATGAAGAAAAGAATCAGTGTTTCTTTATGCTACAAGAACACTTTGCTATGTGCTTAACAGGAAGTTAAATGAACCAAAGCTACAGATAGAAAAAAAAATTCCACCACCAATTAATGTGACAAAGTCTTAACAGGAAAACAAATCAGATTCATTTAAAAACTGAGGTCTTGTTTCTGGTCTTTTCTCAATGCTGAGCTTATATTCCCAAGGTTTATATTTTTCATAGTTTATGTTTTCTGAGGAATACGACGTCCATGGGAGAGGGCTTTTTCCTGCATTGCTCCTGCTGAGTGGCCCAAAGACTAGTCAAGAGGACCATGGCATGCTGTAGCTGCTTATGCTCCAGGTGCACCACAGCTGATGAGAAGTGGTGTGCAAGAGCTCAATACTCACCACCATCACAAGCACCACTCACATTATCAACTGAAAACAAGGCATTTGAATGTTAATTTTTTCTCTCTTCTTCCATAATCTGTCACATTCAGATGGGAAGCACAAGGCAAGTCCCCAAGGACCCCCTGGAATGTTCCCAGCACCTTACCTAGGAAATAATTCTGATATCTTTATATTTTCTAAACATAGGCTGAATGGTGAGTTCTTATATTCCACCTACAACACAGATATGTTGGTCTGAAATTCTGGACCAGGCATCTTTTTAAAAGATGCTTCCAGGCTGTGGAGGATGATGCATGGCCACAGGCTCTCAGTAGTGCTTACAGTCTCCCAAATCAACTCAGCACACCATTGTCACAGCTGCATGACATGGTACTGAACCGATTCCACTTCACCCAGAGAGCAGGACAGCAGCTGAATTCCTAACTGTTTAATAATATCCATTCATCCATACTTCTTGTCCAGTGTAGACATTTAGGTTTCAAAATTAGACATCCATACATTTATCGAAGCAGTCAACTTTATGGTATCTCTGTACAACCTGAGTGAGAAGCAAGGGGTTCTGACCATAAATAAGAATAATATATTCCATTATTCACTCTCTTTCACAAGGCAATAAACATCAGTTAATTAAATATTAAAAGATTCTAAGCGTATAGTAGAAGCAAGTAGTAAAACTAGCATGAGAAATGTGCCAGCCGATTTCGGCCATAAAACACAGGAGAAAACCTTCAAATTTAAAACTGATCATAACTTTTTTAATACCACTGTTATGAAACTTTTCTTTCTACTGTTGTTCAAGTGGAAATTCACTTAGGCTTCACTCAGGCCTCTGGTTGGGATTCTTGTGCTCTGAAAGCCTCTGTGCTAGTGTGGGGGTCTCCTGCATGGGGGCACTGCCATCAGTGGATCTGTCTCACAGCTTACAAGTTTCTTTGTCAACAAGCTGCTCCTCACTTGGAGCCAGATCAATCCTCAAAACCCCTAAACTACTTCAAAATTTTCAGAATTTTACCCCTTTATCCACATCTTAATGACTCATAGCTTAAATGTCACATCTCAGAAACATTGTTTCTCCAATATATAAAACAGTGACAAAAAGCCCTGAATTTCAAAGTAAAACTAATAATAATTTAAAAATATTTCTTCTCTATTGGAGAATTCCCCTCTGCCTTGGTTTACTATTTATAAACCATCAGTCTGGGATTAATTATTATAAATCCTTAAAGCCGAAAAGAAGATTTTAGGCATTTTATTCTACATATAATCTATACCATTATTAAACTGCAGGTCAAATGCACTTTATGTCCAATTTATGTTGGTCACCTTTTAAAATTTATGCATTTTACTTATAGTAAATTTTACTCCCTGGGAGAAAGAATTTCTTAATACTTTGAAAACATCAGACCACCCATCTGACGGGGCAGTGCTCAGGGGGAGCAGTGTCCCCTGCCAGGCTCCAGGGACACTCACCAGGCACCCCGTCTCTCATCCAGTAAGCAATGTCTGTTCCATCTGCAGTGTCGTAAACATCTGTAGCATTGATGGGCTGCAGCAGAGTCATGATCTCTTTCACGATGTCCCGGGCTTCAGCAGTGCCAGAAAAACCCAGTCCAGATGGCTTGAAGGTGCCCTCATCAGACTCCATAACGATGTCAAAGTTGGAGATATTTTCCTAAACATGTAAGAAAAGAAGATACTGTGCTGTGGTTTTTATTTTAGCTGTTACCATATACTGGGTTCTAGGTGTCATTGTGAGCATACCACAACAAATTTGTTTTCAGAAGCACAGAAATGCTTCCTGTGAAAATGTGTATGTAAGCCCAAATGAAGGGACCTATCTTTCTGTAAGGAAATGGCTGAAACAGTTACAATTATATTCTGAGGCACCAATATTCTGTAGGACCCACAACATGACTGGTCTGCTGTTCCCAAATACTTGCTTTCAGACTTCTGAAGTGCCACCTAGAAAGGTAAGCCATCACCACCTTATTGCAGTTTTCATTTGCATTTCATTTCATCCCTTTCTTCTCAGACTTGAGACTCTGGAATTCTGTTGCAGTGGAGAGGGTATGAGGTCCTTTGGCTTTAAAATTAGAGGCATCCAAAGCCTTCATAGACATATAGACAATAGCATATAAACAATAGCATATAGACAATTCTGACCGATTGGAGGATTGAAATGCCAAGGTTTTCCCCCAGACCTGATGGAATAATATCTATTTAAAAGAAAATTTGTGCTTCCAAGGTAACTCCTCACAAGAAACATGAGAGGTAAGATTTTGTGTACAAGTAGCGTATTAACATTTACTTTTAGTGTGTACTTGGAAGAATCTTTTAAGCTAAAAGAACAAAAATTAGCAATTTATTTACTTAGCATATTTTCTTAGATTGCTCAGTTACAAAGGTCTAATTTGAATTAAATACATGAATGAAGATCTCATTAAAAAATGAGATCTGGAGAGGCACATAACTTTTTAGAGAGAGTCATGTCAGGCAGAACAAAAGCTATACCTCAGACCTCCTTGAATGTGACTAAGAGAACGTACTACAGGTTTTACTCTTTTGTCCAGATCTCATGCCTGAATTTTATGGTTGCCATGGGTTATTTATTACAAGAAAACCATTACAAGGGATATGTGATAGCAGCAGTTAACAGATCCATGTCACTACCAGCATATATAAGCCTACAATTCAGTAAATAATTATTTTATATTTTCCTGTATATAAACCAAAATATATACTACAGGTGGCTGTGAATAATTCACATAAGTGTTCACATGTCCTTTATAGAATTTGCTAAGAACTGTTTAACACTTTCCCAAAACCTTTTTCTTTTGAGTGAAATAATTCTAACAGAGCAGAGCTATTTACTTTTAACGTAGAAATAAATCCAGATGTTTAAAAAATTAATATAAAATATTTGCATGATAAAGAAACTGTAAATGTTATAATATCTTAAGATAACCAATTTATCCACCCATTTAACTACTGGAAATCAATGTGCAAATAACCAATCTTGTCACCTCATTGGCAATCACCATTTTTAGACAGTGAAAAACATCTTCAGTTTGTGAAAGATTAAATGTAAATAATTAGGCTACATATGGTGTCTAGGCCTATCATCAAATGCTGTCCTGAGGTTATGAACTTCAACATGAATCATGATGTACAGACTGTCTGAATATAGCGGGAGAGAAGCAGGCCAAGAAAATCACACTGCAGGCTAAAACAGACCAGTGATGCTCCAATGCCACAGATACAATAGAATGAATTCTCAAAATGTAAATCTTCTTTATCATATGCCAAAGGAGGAAGACAATACACATTTCAGTGTGCTGCTGAATTTCCAGTGAAAGCTAACTTAAGAACAGTGAGCCCTACATAAATATGATGCTATGGTACTCAGCTTCTTTGGTTGAGTTTCCAAAGCAGGACTTCTGTCCATTTTTAGAGTGGCTGAAATGAGGAAAGCAATAAGGCCAGGGGAAGGGCAGTGAAGTGAGAAGAGTGAGCATGGGAACAACATGGACACCTAAAACAAATCTCTCTTACCACTCAAAACAACAGAATACCTAAGTTCAAGAACTTCATAAACTGCTACTATTGCAGAATTACTGTGCTCTTCAGTTTTGTTTTCTCACATAAATGTTTCCATATGTTTTTAATATGAAACTGAGTAAACAAACCACCCACAATACATTATATCATATTGTTGTTCTGGAAGAAAGGTATTCAGTTCTGAGAATGTGCTTGAGAGGCATGAAAACAGGACACCCTAGGGAGAGAAACTGACTTAATTGGGGAACAAAAATGAAACACCTCACAGCTACTTGAAATACTATGTATCCTTGAGACAGCTTTTTCCCTATTAGGTCCACTAGAAGTTAGGGTTAGTTATAAAACTACTCACCATCAAATTTGAAAGTTGCAGTCTTAAAAAAAGTTAGATTGGTTTCCCTGTTCCCATTTTTGCACATCTACATTGACATTTCTACTTACACAGAGAGGAACACATGCTGGAGAACATGCTTAAAATATACTGCTTAAAATAGTGAAGATGCTTTGTCATCGTTTGCTATCTATGATGCAGTAATAACTGTCATTAACAAAGTGAGGTGAGACCATACATTCCCCTTGACTAATTCAAAGGAACCAACAAACCAGAAAGATTTAAAAAAATAATTGCAGGCTCAGCTGCTTCCTTCCGTCATCCTCCTAGTGAATATGCCATCTAAATAAGCATTTTAAACTCAGCATGTAATTTTTTTCAGAAAGTAATCTCATCTGCTGCATCTTGATATTGTGCCACTTCTCTTGGTATGTACCAGAAAATTAAAACTTCTCTGTGTAACCTGCTGCCTAATTCTCTGAACATCAAAAGAGACTTTTATGCTTTGCTTTCTCATGACTCAGTTGCAGAGGAGGTCATCTGTCTTTATTATGTCATCTTTAGCTCTTCAATTGAATTTTTAAATGAAACATTACAATAAATACTGCATGGGAAAATTTGCTTTCTATAGCTTGCTATTCTCATTGAATACACAATTAGGCATAATCCTTACCAATACTTCTCCTATTTTAAGTTCTTAATTTTAATTAATTTTATTTCTGTTTTCTTTATAAACAATCTATTTTTTTCTCTGCTAAGCAGAACTAAAAATATAAGTACTTATCTCTAAGGCAAAAACCTGATAACATGAAATCACAGAATCACAGAATGGACAAGGTTAGAAGGAGCACAGAGGATCATCTGGTCCAACCTACTTGCTTAAGCAGGGCCATCCCAGAGCACATGGCACAGGATTGTGTCCAGATGGTTCTCGAATATCTCCAGTGAAGGAGACTCCACAGCCTCTCTTGGCAATCCAAGAGGTTCATTCCACTACATCTGCACAAGTAAAGTTGTTCCCCATGTTCAGGTGGAATCTTCTGTGCATCAGTTTTTGCCCATTGCCTCTTGTCCTATTCCTTGGAGCCTGGTGCATCTTCTTGACACCCTCCCTTCAGATACCTACAGACATTTATGAGATCCTTTCTCAGTTGTTTTCCTACCTTATCTTTTTCACCCTCTGTGTGCTCCAGGAACTTCACATCTCTCTTGTACTGTGGAGCCCAAAACTGGATGCTGTGTTCCAGTTGTAGCCTCACCAGGTCTGCATAGAAGGGCAGGATCACCTCCCTCAACCTACAACCAGTGCTCATCCCAGTGCAGCCCAGGGTACCTTTGGCCTTCTTAGAGCACACTGCTAGCTCATGGACAGCTTGCTGTCTATCAGGTCCATCAGGTCCTTCTCCATGAAGCTCTTTTCCAGCAGGTTGGTTCCCAGCCTTTTTTTGTTCCGGGGGTTTTTTCTTCCCTTGTTGCGGGCCCTTGCTTTCCCTTTTTTTGATTTTCGGTTTTTTTTTTTTTGCCCTTTTTTCCGGCTTTCCAGGCCATTCTGAAGGGCTGCTCAGCACCTGGGGTATCGGCCGCTCCTCTCATCTTTGTGTTGTCAGGGAACTTGCTGAGGAGGCCTCTGTCCTTTCACCCAAATTATTGGTGAAAAGTTAAACAATACCAGGACCAGTACTGAACCTTGGGAGGACATCACCAGTGACAGGCCTCCAACCAGTGCCACTGATTACTGTCCCACCCTCTGGGGTCTGTCATTTAGCCTGTAATTACAGTAAACTCTTTCCATTGAGAAAACAAACCCTTGTAATATATATGACTGGTACTTCTGTTGGTAGGAAATATCTTTCTTCTAGGCTAGTCCCTGGCAATCTCAAGCAGTTATACCTTACAGTAGTTACTTATTCAGTCAAAGTTACAATTGTTAATTCTTACCAGATGTTAAACTAGACTGCAACATCTCATGACTAATCCATTGAGTCACAGATGGCAATCCCTCTTACTCACCTTAAGCAGGGACATACCTGAAAGTTTAATGCAGGGAACAGCTATCCTAAAAGCCTTCAGTACTTTGGGGCTGCTTAAAATAGAGTATTACTTGTCCAACAGCTCATTTACTGGTTTTCTTTTTTGTTCCACTGAGAAGAATCACCACTTTACAGGAAAAATACCGAAGTCTATAATGACAAAGCACTTGACTAATGGTACATTTGTTCCAGTGATAAAGGACATCAGTTAATCTGACATTGTGTTTTCAGATTTCTGTTATTAATTTACACTTAACTTTATGAAAAAACAGCACTTGTATTCCAGTATTTGTCCCAGAGCAGTCAGGAAACAAGTATAGTATAGCAACCATATTTTAGAACTCACAGGAAACTGGTGGTCATCCCACTTGCAATACTAAAAAAAGGTTTAAATCGGCATCCATATTTTTTAGGCTGGCAACTAAGACTACAGGAAAGACAAGAAAAAACCCTGTAAACACCTAAGTGCATGTGACAGTTAGAAAAGGGAAAAAAAAAAGCAAAATAAATAACATCCTCTAAGTATTCAATAATATATAAACATGATGTAGTGTAATTTTGAGTTGCTGTTTAGTATGAAAGTAATTTAATGAAGCAAAACAGGATAAATTGAAACTAGAGCAAAAACACCACAACAGCTGTTAGGAAGCAGAGATGCGCCAGCATCAAGGCATTATAAACACCAGCCACAAGCGTGATCAGACCATTTACACTCTTTTAGAATGAAGACAGGGAAAATCGGGAACACTGTGA